CGTAAGAACATGGGATGTGCCTCCTTTAATGAGCTCAGCCCCTGCTGATGGGCCAATGGCCCAGGCCACCCCGGAGGCATAAAGACCAGAATGGCTGCTCTCAGACCCCAGAAGCATTGTTCTCTCCTCTCACCCATAAATCTGGATCCGCCCACGTTCACCGAGAACACTCTAGGGCCCATCCTTCCTCAGGTGCATCTGTAAACTATTTGCATGCAGAAAACAAAATGTCTCTGAAATATTGAAAATGATGAACTCACATAAATGCATAGAAATAAAAACATGAATATATAATTATAAAGAAAAACAGGAGAAGCATGGGGACCACCACCATGCGGGTGAAATCATCTTCAAATCAGAGAAAAAGTTAATTACTTCAAATGTAATCCAGCTGAGAGCCCTCCTTCCCCCCCCTGCCCCCCGGGGAATCGCATCCCTAAGAGCTCACGTCTGCGTGGGGGCACAGACGGGAGCAGGGGGCGGACCAGAGACAGAGATGGAGGCAGAGGGAAGAGGAAGGAGAAGGATGGAAAGAATCCAGTAAAGGAAAGGGAGCAAGCGAAGCAGGCCGGTTAGAGGCCGTGCCCTGACCTCCATCCAGAGCAGATGGTGAGCAAGAAGGTCCCTAGAGCACCTGGGGGGCTCAGCGGTGAGCATCTGCCTTCGGCCCAGGGTGTGGTCCTGGAGATGTGGTAATCAAGTCCCTGCAGGGAGCCTCTTCTCCCTCTGCCTGTGTCTGCCTCTCTGTGTCTCTCATTAATAAATAGATAAAATCAAAAAATAAATCAATAAATAGATAAAATCTTAAAAAGAAGGAGGAGGAGGAGGAGGAGGAGGAGGAGAAGAAGAAGAAGAAGAAGAAGAAGAAGAAGAAGACGACGACGACGACATAGTAGTAGTAGTAGTAGTAGTAGTAGTAGTAGTAGTAGTAGTAATAAAAAAAGTGGTGGTAGTTGTTGTTCCCTGGAGCCAAGCAGTAGGGCTCTCCCAGGGGAAAGAAGAGGAAGAAAAAGAAGAATAGTAGTAGTAGTAGTAGTAGTAGTAGTAGTAGTAGAATTAGTTGTTCCCTGGAGCCAAGCAGTAGGGCTCTCCCAGGGGACATGGCCGTGGGAGGCCCCCGACCGCCAGGCTCCTGGAGAAGCTGGCCAACACAGGACTTCCCCGTACGAGTCCTTCCTGGGGGAGCAGGTGAGAACCCAGGCAGTGGTTTCTCCCAGTGAATTAACCTGCTGGCATGTATTCAACCAAAATCAGTCTCTCCTGAGCTTCTGTGAGTCACCCCCACCTAATCCTTAGACACCCATGAGTCTGCACCCCTCAACCCCACAGCCTGTGGGGCGGCCCAGGCAACAACCACCCTCCTCCCCAGTGCCCCGTTCTCCGTTCTACCTTCCACAGGGAAATTCAAGCACGGCCTGTGTGACCTCAAAGCACTGACAACGTGCCAGGCACGAAGCTCCACGCTGTGGAGACAACTTCATGACAATCCTCCCAGCATCTCTTACTGCCAGCGGGTACCAGTATCATCCTCATCTTAGAAATGAAGGAAGCAAGGCTCAGGGAAGTTAGGTGACTCTCCCAAGGTCACAGAGCAAGTGACAGGGCTAGATTTAGAAGCCAGGTGGGGCCTGAGTGACCCGCAGGTGCCCCGCTGCCTTCCTCGTGGGCGCTGCTTAAACGGTCCCTGCAGCGCACTTCAGCCTGGACCCCAGCAAGGTCCCCGGGAGTTCACGATCCCAGCGGGGACACAGACACAGTGAAATGAAGCATGCCATAGCAGGTGACATCACGGCGGGCCCAAGGCGAGGCCGGAGAGGCCGTGTTCAAGGAGCTGGGCCCGAGGAATAAGCGAGTGAGGGGAGGTGGGCACGGCACCTCCAGAAAATGGAAAATCACCAGTCAGCCCCGCTTCCCCAGAGCCCGCTCGGGAGTGTGATAACCATGATAACAGACACGGACAGTGATGGAAGGCGAGCTCCCAGGGGAGGCCCCGCGGCCAGACTCCACAATTACCAGCCGCTCGCCGGCAGCTCTGGAGCTGACAAGACAGACAGTTCCCTCGCCTGCGATGCAGGAAATGTTTTGTGTTTTCTGCTTCGGCTTTAATTCTGAGCTAAACAAAGACCTGGCAGGTGGGAGATGGAGTGCTGCCCGGGGAGCCCATCCATGCCTCCCAAACAGGGTTCCAAAACCAGCGGAACAGCTGGGGCTGCAGGGGACATCACTGTCATCCTTGGAAGGGCCCATCCCGGGACCTCCCGGCCCACTCCCTGGGGATCGGAACACGCGGCCACCTCGGGCAAGCCCCACAAGGGTCCAGGCTCTGTTCGTGGAGGCTTCCTCCTCACACCGTGGGAGGTGGTACGAGTATTATCCCAATTTTGTGGATGAGGAGACAGGCTCACCTGGATCGTGTGACGCTGCAGCATCACAGACAGAGTCAAGTTGCAAGTCACCCTGTGAGAGCCCAGAGCTCCAGGTGGTAGGGCCTGCAGGAGCCCAGGAAACAGGCAGGTCAGACAGGGCCTGCCAGCATGGGAAGGGGGTAGGGTTCGAAACTGGCCACAGATGGTCCCACGCCGTGGCAAGGATTAGGTGTGAAAACACTAGCACCAAGCCTGGCACCAGGGAAGTGCTCAGTAACTGCCACTACCCGAAGGCTGAAGGCCCCATGAGGGCAGCGACCTCATCTGCTCTGCCCCCCTGGGATGCCAGGGCCTCAAGGGTGCCTGGTGGCCCTGCCAGGAGATGCTCAGCAACTAGGGATCTGGGCCCCACAGATGCTCTGTGGTTCTGCAACAGGCTCCACACTCCAGACCCAAGCCCAGAACATTTTCAGAACTTTCCTTTTCCAAGCTCTTGGCTTGATCAGTCGGACATTCTGGTGTCGCAGGTGAGGAGTGAGCGGGGAAGAGGCATGACGAAGGAGGCAGGAGGCAGAGCAAGACACAGCACACCGCCCCAAAGGCCAGACCCCGCCACGGGCAACCCAAACTCAAGGGCCCTGGGCAGGCGCACAGAAGCAGCATCCAGAGGACGTATGTGTCCGGGCAGCACCAGCACACCAGCCAGCCCTGCTCCCCAGTCCGACCCGCAGGAAGCACAACACGGCCACCCCACTCACCATCACGTCTCCAGAGACCAGCCCAGGAACCTAGTCCAGAGTAGGCATTTCATCAATATTTGTTACAGAAATCACTGCCCAAGGAGCCTACTGGGTGCGGGGCACTGCTCCAGGAGCTTCACTCTACATAACCAGGCTCCTTGGGCAAAGTGGAAGCATTATTCCAGGGTTGCCAGGTGGCAAAAGGGAGGCTCAGAGGGGAAGAAGCCATTTGCCTAGAGTTAACACCTCCAGGGGGTGATGGCAGCGAGTTGGCCTTGGCCTATGCTCCTTCCACTGCCACACGTGCCTCCTAGGGCGAGGATAGACGAGAAATGGGCTCTTTTGGAACAGAGAGAGTATTTACTCTCCCCGAGCAGCTTCTCTGAGCCCTGTGCCTACCGAGCCCAGGGCAGCCGGGGCAGCAGCTCCAAATCTGCCAAAATTTAGCTCAGGTCAGAGCCAAGTCTCCCCTGAGATCCTGGTCCCACCCTACCAGGAGCCAGCCAGGCACTGGGCCACCCCTGGGGAGCCGGGAGGGGGCCCAGCCGCCCTGAGGATCTTGGGTCCTTCAGCCCAGGCCCCTGGTCCAGGTCCGGGGTCAGGGTTCAGCAGCACCCGGACTCCAGAGTCCCCCACACCTCTCCTCTGCTTGGGCATCAGGCTCCAGGGGCATGGGCGGGGCCTGGGCTGGAGTGGGCGTGGCCTGGGCGGGGCCTGGGGTCGGAGTAGGCGTGGCCTGGGCGGGGCATGGTCTGTGGTGGGCGTGCCCTAGGCGGAGCCCCGCCCACCGCTCCGCCCCCAAGGTTAGAGACCCTGCTCTCCCGTCCGCGCTCTCTAATCCGCGCCCCCGGGAGGAGTTAGAGACCCCGCCCAGGTGCTCGGCTGGGGCGCCCTCGCGCCCCGGGGCCCGCCGCCGCCCCCGCCCCCGCCCGGCAGGAAGCGCCCCGCGTTCCCAGGCCCCGCCGCCCCCTCCCCCGGCGAGCCGAGCCCGAGCATAGGCCGCGTTTGTGGGAAGCCGGGCTCCGCGCGCCGAGAGGGAGTCGATTTATTCTGGAGAAAACATCTTTGTTCTGCGAGTGAAGGGGAGCCCTTTGCAACAATTTAATGCTCTGTTCGCGGGCCCGGGGGTGGGGTGGCAGCGCGAGGCTCGGTCCTCGAGGCGGAGCCGCACATAATGAGGCTTCTCACTGCCGCTCCCCGCCGTCCTGCCAAAAGCCAGGACGGTTATTTATCCATTAATCTGACATTACACCCCCTGCATCTGATCTGCTTAAATAAATTTGGTGGGTGGAGTGTGCGCCTGGCGGAGAAACCCGCGCGTCCCATTTCCGACGCGCCAACGCGTGCGCCCGAGCCTCGCCAGCTCGCCTTACCCTCCTGGGGCTCTGCGGGGCCCGCGGCCGCACCCGACCAGGACCCCGACCCGGACCCCGCCCGGCCCGCTCGGCGGGACCCCGACCCGGACCCCGACCCGGACCCGCCCGGACCCCGCCAGGCCCGCTCCGCGGGACCCGACCCGGACCCTGCCCAGCCAGCTCAGCGGGACCCGACCCGGACCCGGACCCCGCCCAGCCAGCTCGGCGGGACCCGACCTGGACCCCGACCCGGACCCGCCCGGACCCCGCCAGGCCCGCTCCGCAGGACCCCGACCCGGACCCCGACCCTCACCCCGCCCGTCCCGCTCGACGGGACCCGACCCGGACCCCGACCCAGACTCCAACCCGGACCCGGACCCCGACCCGCCCGGACCCAGCCCGGCCCGCTCAGTGGGACCCCAACCCGGACCCGAACCCCTCTCCCGGACCCAGACCCGGACCCCTCTCCCCGACTCGCCCAGACCCGAACCCTTCTCCTAGCCCCACCCGGACCCGGACCCGGACCGAACCCCTCTCCCGCCTCCACCCCACCCAGACCCGAACCCCTCTCCCCGCCCCACCCGGAACCAGACCGTCTCCTGGCTGGCGGACCCGGAGACAAGCCACCTCCTTCCACCACCATCTACAGGTGGTAGGGAAGAGGGAGGACACCTCAAACCCGGACCCCCACTGTCTGGGCTGGAATCCCAGCTGTGCCACTCAGGAGCTGGGTGACCTTGAAATATCACCACCTTCTGTGCCTCAGTTTCACCACCTCCTACTTAGGGCTATTGTGAGAAATGAAAGAGTTAATATGTATTTAAGGTGCTTAGAACAGTGCCTGGCACATGGTTGTTGCATAAAAATTAGTTTAAAATATAGATAATGTTTAAAATCCACAATAAGTGTTTGTAAGCAGGGCTTTGGAGAGGAGCCACAGCTCTGGGTCCTAAATGTGACAAAGGGGCGTAGGGCACTGGTCTGCTGCCCCCCCACCCCGCTCCACCCACTTCACTCAGTTGAGGGTGGTCATGGTAGGAGGGTCATGGAATAGCTCATTCCAGCAAAGGGTCCCACTGCTTGACCGTGTCTGAAATCCCTTTTTCCGCCCCACAGCTTGCGTTTTACAGAGGAGCAAACTGAAAGCCAGAGAGGGGAAGGGACCCGTCCAGCATTCAGCAAGTTCACAGCAGAACTGGAAGGAGAATCCAGGGCTTCTATCCCCCAGGTCCAGCTCTTGGTTCTGGGCTTTTTGATTTGGTTTTGTTTCCCTGCAGCAGGAGACCTCCTGCCCACTCACCCCATTTTCAGTGAGGAGCTCAGCAGCCTCTCTACCTAGCACCAGGTCAGGACCACCCATCACTATGCCCAGCTGGGCATCCTTCTCTCCCCTCCCAGCAGCTGCAGCACCCCCCCCCAGGAGCTGAGAACCTAACCTACAGCAGGTGAAACCCCGAGACCCTCAGACTTTAATACCCCACACCCTGGGGGGCTGGCCACCCCTGCGCATGTATCCTTCATTTCTCATTTCATCTTCTGCTTCTCTGCAGCATCTCCTTGGCCCAGAAATTGCTGGAATTTCCTACGTGTCCTCTCTAGATCTTGTCTGCCCCTTGACACCCTGTACCTTCATCCCCAGGGCTGTCTGTGCCCTGCCCTACAGGCTGGAACCCAGCACTAGGTGACACCTGAGGCCTGCTGCGCCCGCCCGGCCACCACGTCCATCAGAGCCTTGGATGTGGCACTGGCCCGCGCACACCCAGCCTGAGCTCACCGCACCCCTCTGGGGCTCTCCCCAGCCAGGCCCAGCCCGGAACACCTCCCACAGGGCCGGGAGTTCCACCTGGAGAAGGATGCTTCCACAGTCTTCTTGCCCAGGAGAGGCAGCCCAAGGCCCCATGCAGACTGCTGAGGCGAGTGGAGAGCGAAGCGGTGAGTCTGTAACCAGGGAGGAGCTCTGTCCCACGCAGGAGCCAGGAGCCGCTCTGCCCAGGCAGCTGCAGGCCCAGCCCCTGCCTCCTTCCGAGCAACAAAGAGGCAGGCATGCGGGCAGACAGACGCCCACCACAGAGACCTCCCACTCGATTGCTGTGTCATTATCTGCCCCTCCTCCTGGCCCCACAGAGGGGGAGGCCCCTCCGACCTGTCGCCAACTGTACCCTTTGCCAACCAGAAGCTCCCACAGGAGAACGGCTGCCTCCGAACCTCCAGGAAACCCTCTGCCCGTTGCCATCTGCTCCTGAGGCCTGCCGAGACCCGAACCAGCCCAGCCCTTTCCTTCCTAGCCAACTCGGAGAACATCAAAGTGCTGGAGGCAAGAAGAAAGTCCCCGGGCCACCCGCTGGGGGCAGACTGGGGCAGACTGGGGCCCGCTCAGCAGTCCTGGCAGGCTCGAGCTCCTGACACCCCTGCCCTGAGTGCAGTCTCATCTTAAATAACCCTCCTCACTAGCCCCCTGCTTTACCTCCCTGGCTGCTCCCTCTCTTTTGACTCCTGTCCACCCTGCAGCTCACGGGCACCCCGATCAGTGCTGCTCCCAGGAAAGTGATCTGAATCCTGAGTTGCAGGGGCTTCTGACCACTTCAGCTGGCCCCGGCCCCTGATACCCCGTGCCAGGCACTGTGCCAAGTGCTCTGCAGTCTCAGGCTCAGCTGGAGAACACGTCTCCCATCTAACAGGGGAGGACACAGGCCGGCCCCCAGGCATAATGCTTCTAAGTGGCCCAGCCTGAATTTAAACCCAGATGTGTGTGAATCCAGAGCCCCAAGCCTTCCCAGCAGGCCGTGGGGGCTAGCCCACCCACACAGCTGTTCTTTCCCATGAATGAAATCAGACACGGAGTCTCACTCCCACAGCCACGCAGGATGGAGGAGAGTTGGGCCCTGCAGGCCATGTGTCCTGGGCGTTCTGACTGGGGGTCTGGCTTCCTTCAGGGCCGCTAAGACTCACCTGTCATTGGCAGCGCGAATGGAAATCAGCATTTTACAGCAATAAAAGGCTGCTCCTGGTTAGACATCAAACGAATCCATCTTCTCTGACAGTTAATTTTCATTTTGCAACTTTCCCTGGTGACAACGGCAGGTAACGACCCTGGGCATCTGCAAAGTCGCGGAGCAGCAGCCCAGCCGCCCACACCCCTGGCTCCTGGCTGCCCTGGTTCAGCGCCCCCCACCCTTCTGTGCCTGCTGATCAACAGCCCCCTGACCCCCACTCCCCAGGCCGAGCCCACAGAGACACCCCTCTGCCCAGGAACGTGTCGCAGGGCGTCAAGCCCGAGCCACCCTCCCTGGGACACTGCAGAGCTCAGACATGAAGCCACTGGCACAGGCGCTGATGGCTCCCTCATCCTCACTGATCCGCACCCCCACCTCCATCATCACACACCCCCCAACATGCCTCTGGCCCCAGCACCTGCCACCAACCCTCAAGGCACAGCACCAACGACGCTCTCGGGAAGTCCCCCAAGCACCCCCTTCTCCGTCCCCAGGCCCAAATGCAGAGCACTCCCATACCTGGCACCCCTGACCACCTCCAATGTCATCATCAACCATGTCCGACCCCCAAATGCACCTCACAGATTCCCAGCACTCCCACACAGCTGGGGAGCCCGAGTCCCACCCAAGGCTTCCCCCATCTGTACTCGGGGGGGCAGAGGCAGATGAGATGGAGCCTTCCCCAGAGGAAGGCCCTCTGCCCACTCTCCCGACCCCTGATCTCTACTGGGCCGTCGGCTCAGCTCAGAGTCACCAAGTGCAGTTTGCCACAGCCAACTCTGCACCTGCTAAGAGAAAGGACAGCAAGGCCAGCCCGGCCCTGGACTGGGGCTCGCTTGGGGGCCCCAAAGCCAAATGCAGCAGCCTGGCTCAGGAAACCCCCCAAGGACTCCCCTGCACCCTAGGACTCACAGCCACAAGGAAGCTTAAGTTCATGGGAGGGTCTTCCAGTGACCCTCACCCCCTTTCCTGAAGGGCTATGGCACCCAGGGCTGCACCCTGGTCCAGCCCTCCACCTCCCCAAATGCTTCTCTCCTAGTCCCACCCTCCCCGGAGCCCCTGACCCCAAGAACAACACTACCATGTAGTGAGTGCTCCCGTGTGCACAGCACGGTGCCCGCCAGGCTGTCTGTCCATCTCGGGGCCAGGCCAGCCTCACGTCACTGCATGGACTCCAGCCCCAGAGCAGTGCCTGGCATGCGGGGAGAGCAAGAAGCATCTATTGAATAAATGAACAGAGGCCTTTGGACCTGTGCTCCTGTGAAATCCCCCCACCACCCCGCAAGCTAGGTACTGATTAGAGGAAACAGAGCAGACGAGGCCTAATTCCCACAGCCCTCAACCGGCAGAGGCACATACACAGGGCGCTCCTGGTCCAGGGCCTCTGCTCAGCGCTGACCCCCAGAGAGCCCCATGCAACAGGGACGACGCGTTAGGGCAGCTCGGCCCAGCCCTGCCCTGTGAGGCTCCAGGCTCCAGGCACAGGAGGACCCATTTCCTCCTGACTCCAAACCACAACTCCAGGAAGTGCAGGCAGCAGCCCCTGCATCTCCCTAGCAACCCAGGAGCTTTTGTTCTTGAAGAATGGAGCTGATTCATTCCCCCCAAAGGGTGAACAGCAGGGGCTGCCAGCAGCAGCAGAGCAGGGTCTAGACCCTATGCAGCCAGGAGCGGCCCAGGCCCAGCTGATGCCCCGGGGGAGCCCCCACGCCCCAGCTGGGCTCCAAAGCAGCATTCCCAGTGCTGTCCACACCGCTGGCCAGAATCCCACACCAGGGATCCACAGGACGAGCCCCACTGCTGGCCCTCCCACTGCTCGGCCTCTTGCTCTCCACCACACTCCCATAGGACCCGGTGGCTCCAAACACCCGGCCACAGGCCCTCACCCAACACCACGCCCTCTGCTCTGTACCTCTGCACCCCAGTCCCTCAGCCCGCAAAGCCCCTTCCTTTCTCATCCCTTGCTGGAGACCTCTCATCCTTGAACCAGAGGCTCCGATGTGGCCCCGCCCTCAGTAATTCCCCCTTTAAGCAAAATGTGTCACGGCTGCCGTGTACCCCACAACACCATCTCTCCCAGAGGCCTCCCTTTCTTGGGGCTGCGCCATCCCTCCACTGGATGGTGAGCCCCTGGAGGCAGGGAGCAGGGCCCTTCTCCACCAAGCGGTTCCAGCCCCAGCAGGGGGTGGGGGAGCACCCACAGGAGCTCCCAGGAAGTCATCACTGGGGGGACGGCACAGAGCGTCCCCGTGGACTGTTACAGTCTGTTACTTGGTCAAGCCCGGTGAGTGGCCTGCTCCGGCCGATGCCACGGCAGCCGCTGAGACATGTTTATTCCAAGCAGAAGCCTGAGCCGGTTCTCGCTTCTCCACCCGTAGCACCGAAAGCATTTTTGGAGAGCACTCGCTTCTCAGCCTGGTTCCTGAAGTGGGGGAGATGACCACAGGCTCACAGCAGCCCCGGGCCAGCCCAGGACGGACATGCAGCCTGCGTGGGCTCAGGGGCTGCTGCGACTGCCACACAGGCTGGCCTACTTCAGCAACGCAAGGAATGAGCAACAAATGCCTCGTGCACCTGCCCAGGACAACACAGGGGTCAGGACCCTGCAGGACGCCATAAATGCGCCCCCAGCTGGCTTTCTAAGTAGGCTTGTCACATCATGACGACCCCACAACAAATGTTTAAAACAGGAAGAAAGCCTGTGGGGCATGTTAGGAAGACTGAGCCTTGGAGGCAGACACCTGAGTGCATAGCCGAGCTAACACGTACCCATGACCTTGAACAAGTCCCTTCGCCTCTGGGAACCTCAGCTTTCTTCTCATAAAATCAATACCTACCCCCCGCAGGGCGTTCTTGAGATGTCAGGAGTACAAACTGCCTGTAAAGTGCCGGGCACACTGGGAGCCTTCCATCGCTCATGCCTGCCAGTCCCTCACATTAGCTCCAAGATGCCTGGGGGGTGAGGAGCAGGGTAACCAGCCAGCCACCTCAGGACAGGCCGCATCGGAGATGCTGTCACCTACATGGGGCACAGAGAGGCCCCGGACTCCCAGCGAGCTGCACTCGGGGAGGCCGCCAAGCCAGTGTTCCGGTTACATCCCCACCCCCACCCCCACCCCACGGGCACACAAGGGCAGCATCCTGAGAGATCCCATTTCTGCCTCCTCTGGGGCACCTCAGCTCTGGCCTGCACGGACCCTTTGTTCATCAGGGGTCCTCCTGTCCTCATCCTCATGCCTGTTCTGGTCCTCGGCCCTTCCTCTCTTCCTCCCTGACCACAGCTGGCCCTTTCCTCGGGTTCAACTCAGAAGACAATTTTGAGGCAGGTTAGCAGCAGCTTTCTGGGGATAGGGGCATATTCTGTTGCTTCCTGTTGTCCTTCTAAGCCTTCTGACTTGTCTGGTTAAGGAGCATAAGGGTAAGTGACTCCTAACAAACAAAGGGTCCCATAGGAGCCAGAAAGGGCATCTTCCAGAATGCAGAAAGCCACCACAGCTCCTGTCCGGGGAGGCTCCAACCCGATGGGCACAGGGACTTGGGACTCATGAGGAAATGCCCATCACAACATCACACTGTGCAAAGGCACAAACCAAGGACTCATTGGCACAGACATGGGAACCACATTTGCTGATCGCTTCCTAGGTGCCAGCACCCTAATGGGTGCCTTACCTGCACACCCCATAAGAACTCTGCAAGCTGCCTGTGTGGGGGCACCATGGCTCCTGCAGATGAAGGACCAAGGAGGCTCACACGTGGGTCTCAAGCTCCTTCCTACAGAAACCTCACGAAATTAACTACCCTCTTCCCTTAATGGCTGAACAAATCTATCCTGATTTGTAGGCTTTCCTGAAACAGCATTTATAATTGCATTCGGTGAAAAATGTTTTAAATGAATCTAATTCTTCATAGTTTGGAAACATGAAACATCTGCTTTGTCTCAGCAACTGTACCTCTTGATTAAAACAACTATAAACCATTTCTCCTGCCCCTTCAGATCATGGGCTCCTTGAAGCCAGGGGCTATGAATTATCCTACCCAACACCCACAGGAGCCTGGCAAAGATCAATAGCAGATTAAAACATTAAATTGTCCCTTCTCATCTCATTCCAACATTTGCCTCCTCTCCATCATCCTTCACATCGTCATCCTCTCCATTCCCTCAATCATTAAATAAACTCAAATTATCCATATTTCATTTTTTTAATTATCCATATTTTAAAAAACACCTCAGACTTCCGCTTCTGACCAAGATGGAATAACAGGACAGATTTACCCTCCTTCCAAAACAACTCAAAAAAATGGTAAAGTATATGAAATAATGTTTTTCCAGATACTAGAGATGAGGCAAAAAAGGACAGCAATGCCTGGGAGACTAAAATAAAACAAGGTGAACCCTACGATTGCCTCAGCTTACTGCTTTAAGCTTCCAAAACAACACGGTTGTTGGGGGAGGGGATGCCCTGAGTCGAGGAATTGAATCTAAGCATCAGGGAGATCAAGGCAGCCAGAGAACCGAGATAAAGTACCAAGGAGGTGAAATCTAGGGATTTTTCTAAAGATTCCACTGAAGTATTTAGTAGAGTTGAGCTTTTCCAAGGTCAGGTAAAGAAACACCCCCAGAAATTTGAGGGACTAGTACTTCATAGGGCCAAGAACAGTGGTATTTTCGATGGGAATCTCATGATTCACATTGGGTAGAGTACATAGAAAGGTACTGCCTCAGCAGGAATAGCTGTGCTCCTACCTAACAAGTGGGAAAAGCAAGACTCAAAGGATCAAACCAGGGAAGCCTGGGTGGCTCCGTGGTTGAGAGTCTGCCTTTGGTCCAGGCGTGATCCTGAGGTCCTGGGATCAAGTCCTGCATTGGGCTCTCCACAGGGAGCTTGCTTCTCCCTCTGCCTGTGTGTCTGCTTCTCTCTCTGTGTCTCTCATTAACAAATAAATAAAACCTAAAAGAAAAAAAAAGAATCAAACTGCTTCCAAGTAACTTAACTTCATCCCAGAATAA